AAGCCATAAAGGAGTTGACTTAAGTGAGAAGTTTGTATTAAATCCTGAATATTCATGCATATGTTAACAGTATGGACCAATTTTGTAAATAGTTGCATTCGTGATGTGCTCATGGGAGGAAGACCAATCCAAATATTGTCAATGAGGAGCCACTAAGCCAGGAAAGTCAGCAGTGGGATAGAAGGAAAGGACAGTGAGAGGGAGAGAGAGAGAAAAAAAAGCAGTCTTACCTTCCTCAGGGAGCACATATCTCACGGCTGCAACTTTTCCCGAATAGCGCTCTCTCAGCTCTCCTGCGTTATCCTTTCCAGACGGAGGAGAAGGAAGGAAAGTCAAGTGTTTCTATCCTGCCTGCCATTCTGCTCATGGGAGAAACTCAGTGGACAAGCCCACCTGACCTAGTAAGCCCCGCCCCTCGCCTGACTTGCTCTTTTCTTGACTGACCGCATTATGACTCCACATCTTTCTTGTCCTCCTGTCGGTCATTTTGACCATCCGTCCGTCTGTCTGTGAAGCTTGATGATACCGCTGAGAGTCTCGCTGGTGTCAAAAATACGATAACAAAATATACATCATCATTGATTGTCTCTCTTATTTGATCTGACCCCCTGGACGAAAATGTTGTTACCAAGGAAATGTTTTTTTTTTTTTTTACTGAACGGCTGTCACAATGGAAAGGTCACAATGTAAAAAAAAAAGTGCCCAACTCCCTGATGACTGCTCAGATAATAGCAATTGCAGGAAGAAGTGAAAAGTCCTACTTTCCCAAATTCCAAAATTACACCCCTTTTCGAGGCATAAAATGATGGCTCCATCACAAACACAATTCACACTCCCGGAACCTGCGTTGAATTGATGTGGCTTGTCCAAGCCAGCTGGATACAAAGAGGTAGCCGAGAAGACATTGATTCAAACTTGACTTACCACTTCAAAGCCCCTGGGTTCACAATACACAAATATTAGACTGGTCACGCAAACAAATGAAGTATTGACTTGAATTAATATCTTCTTGTCAACCGCCTCCAAACAACTGTATTATGCTAGTTAAACATGAACAATTATGGTAATTAGGCCGACTTAATATTTTTGTGTTAACATAGTGTGAAACTGGTTGGTAATAAATACCACACACACACACACACACACACACACACACACACACACACACACACACACACACACACAAACAAATGAAGTATTGACTTAAATTAACATTTTCCACTTTTTTACTCACCAGCCCCTGTTGGCTAGTCGATTCCCAGCAAGCTTTCTCAGCACTTTCATGAACCACATTTTTTTGTTGGTGTTGATTATATTTTTAATATACTTAAAGGTGACAATGATGCCAAAATGGACTCGAAAGAGGTTTACAAGCTTTTTAAGTAATCACTGTGATGACGACATAATTGTTTAACATTACGGGGTCGTGACATGTACTCATCTCTGATGATGTCATTTTGTCTTTTGGCCTCATCAATATGAGACTGGACTTTACACCGATCTGATCGTTAGAGACATATTTCGAATTTTATGCGAAATCGGTGATCGGTTGTCATGCCATCATTTGCAGACAATAATGTCAGTGACAAGATTTGGGGGGAATTATTGTTCATATTTTTTTCCCCAATGCATCTCAATTATCATGTTCAGTCGATTATACACAAATTTGGACTATTGGTGGGCCGGTACGGTTCTGCTGATTGGTGATATTCTCTCTGAGACTGTGTGGATTTTCCCCGGGTACTCCGGTTTCCTCCCACATTCAAAAAACACACATGGCAGGTTAATAGAACACTCTAAATTGTCCCGAGGTGTGAGAGTGTGAGCGCGAATGGTTGTTCATCTCTGTGTGCCCTGCGATTAGCTGGCGACCAGTTCAGGGTGTCCCCCTCCTACTGCCCGAAGACAGCTGGGTTAGGCTCCAACATGCTCTGCGACCCTTGTAAGGATAAGCAGATCGCAAAATGGGAGGATGGATGGATGGATGATTGGGTCCAAAATCCTTATTGTGTGAATGTCAAACACTGCTAGCTATGGTGTTGGGGTTCACACTCTATAAATTACCCCTACGGTAATCTTAATCCTAACCCATTATCCCTCCAAACCCTAACCCCAACCCTCACCCTAACACCCTAACCCTAAAACTAATCCTGAACATAACCCTAACCCCCTACCCCTAACCCTTAAACCGAAACCTAATCTAACCCTAACCCCCATAACGATAAACCTAACCCAACCCTAACTCTAACCCTAACCGATAGGCTACTTGTGCCATCAGAGAATTAAGACTCATCCCTGCATGACCTGAGCTGCATTCCATTTCATGTCCTGTGTACCTCAAGAGCTCCAACAATGTGTTTTTGCAATTAAGAGTTGCACTTTGAACTATTTACACATGACAGAAACATGACCTAAACAGTTTTGATTTGTTGGGTTGACAAGGTAATGCATGTATCAAAAAACAAACAAGCAAAAAAAATGCTGGAAAATTCTCAGAAAAGTTGCTCAAATCCATCGGCACTAGAGGCCTTGTTTGGGGGTGGTGGGGGGGGGCAACAACAGAATTAATCTTGGAATGTATTTACATATGGGCAAATTACATTACATTGAAATGATTACTCTTGTTTCATTAAACTCAGCCCTGAAAACAGAATCAATAAATCATCTGTTCTGCAAGGACAAGGACAAAAGAGAGTGCCCAAAGCGTGCAATTATACGCATGACTTCGTTACCAAACTTGAATAATTTCTCTTTGCTGCAAGTATTTTGGTTTTCTAAATTTGTAAAAACACGAATGAGGTTTCAGCAGCTCTACAATGCACCCACCGCCATGTGATTTAGCTTGAACTATGTGGCAAGCAGTTCACTTTATGTTTGAATGGAACCATTTCTTTCCTTTGTATAAAAGACCGTGTCAGCTGTGTTTACCTCCCGGTGTTTGTTCTTATTCTTATCCATCCATCCATCAATTTTCTAATCCTCATGAGGGTGCCGGGCGTGCTGGAGCCTATCGGAGCTGTCGTCTGGCAGTCGGTGGGATACACCCTGAATCGGTTGCTAGCCAATCGCAGGGCACATACAGAGGAACAACCATTTGCGCTCACAATCGCAGCTTGAGACAGTTTAGAGCACAAGTGTCAAACTCAAGGCCCGGGGGCCAGATCTGGCCAGCCACATAATTTGATGTGGCCCACAAAAGCAGCTCAACCATGTCAACTTACATGATCCTTTCTAAAATGTCTACAAAAATGTTAAATTCTCATATGGAATAAATAAGAGATATATTATAAGCATTTCCTTGTTACTAACCCCCTCATGATAGTAATTTAAACAATATTTGAATCAACAGTTATTCTTGACTTCTTCATATGGTTTCAGTCATAACGATGGGAGGATGGATGGATGGATGATTGGGTCCAAAATCCTTATTGTGTGAATGTCAAACACTGCTAGCTATGGTGTTGGGGTTCACACTCTATAAATTACCCCTACGGTAATCTTAATCCTAACCCATTATCCCTCCAAACCCTAACCCCAACCCTCACCCTAACACCCTAACCCTAAAACTAATCCTGAACATAACCCTAACCCCCTACCCCTAACCCTTAAACCGAAACCTAATCTAACCCTAACCCCCATAACGATAAACCTAACCCAACCCTAACTCTAACCCTAACCGATAGGCTACTTGTGCCATCAGAGAATTAAGACTCATCCCTGCATGACCTGAGCTGCATTCCATTTCATGTCCTGTGTACCTCAAGAGCTCCAACAATGTGTTTTTGCAATTAAGAGTTGCACTTTGAACTATTTACACATGACAGAAACATGACCTAAACAGTTTTGATTTGTTGGGTTGACAAGGTAATGCATGTATCAAAAAACAAACAAGCAAAAAAAATGCTGGAAAATTCTCAGAAAAGTTGCTCAAATCCATCGGCACTAGAGGCCTTGTTTGGGGGTGGTGGGGGGGGGGCAACAACAGAATTAATCTTGGAATGTATTTACATATGGGCAAATTACATTACATTGAAATGATTACTCTTGTTTCATTAAACTCAGCCCTGAAAACAGAATCAATAAATCATCTGTTCTGCAAGGACAAGGACAAAAGAGAGTGCCCAAAGCGTGCAATTATACGCATGACTTCGTTACCAAACTTGAATAATTTCTCTTTGCTGCAAGTATTTTGGTTTTCTAAATTTGTAAAAACACGAATGAGGTTTCAGCAGCTCTACAATGCACCCACCGCCATGTGATTTAGCTTGAACTATGTGGCAAGCAGTTCACTTTATGTTTGAATGGAACCATTTCTTTCCTTTGTATAAAAGACCGTGTCAGCTGTGTTTACCTCCCGGTGTTTGTTCTTATTCTTATCCATCCATCCATCAATTTTCTAATCCTCATGAGGGTGCCGGGCGTGCTGGAGCCTATCGGAGCTGTCGTCTGGCAGTCGGTGGGATACACCCTGAATCGGTTGCTAGCCAATCGCAGGGCACATACAGAGGAACAACCATTTGCGCTCACAATCGCAGCTTGAGACAGTTTAGAGCACAAGTGTCAAACTCAAGGCCCGGGGGCCAGATCTGGCCAGCCACATAATTTGATGTGGCCCACAAAAGCAGCTCAACCATGTCAACTTACATGATCCTTTCTAAAATGTCTACAAAAATGTTAAATTCTCATATGGAATAAATAAGAGATATATTATAAGCATTTCCTTGTTACTAACCCCCTCATGATAGTAATTTAAACAATATTTGAATCAACAGTTATTCTTGACTTCTTCATATGGTTTCAGTCATAACGTCCCTCCAAGTGAAACAGTAACTAAAATCTGACCCGCACAAAAATGAGTTTGCTACCTCTGGTTTAGAGTCTAAACTTTAGACTCTATGTTTTTCGAATATGGGTATAGTGTTGTACATTGGCAATATTAAAAAAAAGATGACTAAAAGGTATCAGTAATTATATCGAAACTTTATTGATAAAATAAACTTCTGTCAGTGTTCGAAGAGGCTCTTGAGCCAATACGCATGCGCAGCTGGGGCAACGAGGAAGTGGACGACAGAGTCGCAAGGATCGGAGCAACATGCTCCTGCAAACATAGCAGCAGAAGGTATGCCAGAAAAACGCAGCGTACAAGTGTCACGCAGTGTATACCATGAGTCATGAACCAATAATACGTACTTCCTGCTTACACTGATGGATAGAATGAACAAGAATCGCTTTTGAATCTCAATTCATTGTATTCCGGAATGGCTTGGCTTCAGCGTGCACAAAGCAAAAGTAAACGCAGATTTAGTTATTGTGGCAAAGGTGAGAAAGTGCAAAAGAAAAAACAGGAGCCGTGCTTCTTGCCCTCAGAACATAATCTGTTGCGCGCTAGTATTTTTTTTTTATTTTGTGTGTGTGTGTGTGTGTGTCTGTATGTCTGTGTCTACAGTTTCTTTGCTCCGTTGAAAGCAAGCAGAGGCAGCATGTTCGATGCTGGTGTCTTCAACAAGGTCAAGTACTCGCGTCTTGCTGCAGACAATGACGGATACATTGAATTACAGGTAGCAACTTCACTTTTTCGACTGATTGGTTGAGCGTTTGTTGCAAACATGCTGGACAAAATAGACATATGGACACAAACTAGGGTCAAGGTTTTAAAGTAGTGTTTCAAACTAGGGTTGGGTTTCAAATAGAAATGATAGCAGACATTGAACAATTATGCCGCAAAGATATCATGGTACTATTGGATCATGACTCCAACAAAACCTCAATTTCGGTTTCATGACTCACCTACGTTTCTGTCATATGCTGTATTGCGTTTACCAATAGTCTCCAGTTATTTCAGTAATTTCCCAACATTCATGGGCAGTTGTGGAGGAAATTGCACAAAGGATTCATGATGAAATGTGCAATTCTTTTTAACACCTGAATATTTCTTACTGTTATTTACAACAATCAATACTCTAATACAGTGAAGTACACGCGGGTTGATTCATTCATCAATCATCAAATTAAATCGGCAACTCTTTGAACAATCGATTAATTATTTCGAATCATTGTTTAACTTCAAATTGTCCCAAATCCGCTGTTTTGGCAATTATTCATTGATTTTCTGTCGTCGTTCCGGGAAGCAGACAGATGATCTGGAAAATGATGTGGAAATGATTCATGTGAAAAGTGACTTGGAATTTGTTGCTTGGCAGTTTAAGAAAAGTCCTCCAAGGGTCCCCTACAAGGCAATTGCACTGGCAGTCTTCCTCTTTTCGGTTGGCTCCTTACTCGTCATCTTTGGGGCCCTTCTTCTGTCAGGCACCATTGAGGTGGAGGTGAGTTCATTCAAACAGCAGACAAAACAAATGTGCTTATTTCAACTCCTTGAAATTTTTTTTGCTATCTGAAGTCAGTTTTCAAAACATAAGGTATAAATCACACTCAATTTGAACAACATTGACTGAAGCGTAAATGCCCTTTTTTTTTTGATGTACTGCTCTTTTGTAAGACAATGGATGTTTTTTCTTGGCTGCAGTGGACACCTGCTTATTCATAGTTTGGCTTTCGCAAATTTACGGAAGGATTTTTCTTGTTTTAGAAAACTATCCTTGGGGTTTTGCACAAAACATGCCTATTCGTCATCTTCGGTAACATGGCAAAGTCTGATGTGTGTGTGTGTGTGTGTGTGTGTGTGTATTGAATTTTCCCTGGCATTATGCTGTCTGCGGCAGCGTTTCTCTATGTTAATAAATAAAGCCTCCATCGATGGCTGAAAAGGTATCTGTAAACCGGTATGTTTTTGTAGAAAACACTATTTTTAATTAGCAGGTCCTGAGCCAAGCTTTCAAACACGGCGGTAATTAAAACACTCCCGCTGCACTCAATCCTGCTTTAAAAATAGTTGTAATTAACGAGTTGCCTCTGCGTTTTATTGTCCTCCTGCCACGTTGCATTTATGTTCCTTTCCAGACTACCACAGTTTAGCGTATGTTAAAATATGAGTCTGATGTTTTAGACCCTAGGGTGCCAACCCCCGTGGATCCCCCGCTGCGCTTTCTACTTCCGAAATTCACATCTCCATGTGGGAGATAACAGTCTGAATGTATCAAATTTGTAATTATCAGTAGGAGGCTTTCCAGACTACAGATGTTGTTTGCAGAAAATCTGCTCTGACATCGAGGCAAAGCCATTTAAAAAACACATGAACAGTATATTTCGACAATGGATTAGGGGAGAAATCATGTTTCGAGTTGAGTGCATAAGAGGGCAAAGAAAGGGTAACGTAATGACATTCTGTGACACACTGACTCTATTTTTATAGACAAGCGCATGTGCGTTCAGGATTTAAATTTGTGCATCTTGATTTTCATGCTGGGTTATTTGGGGATTTGGGAGACTGCGCTATGCCACGCTGAACATGCCAGGGCACGGAGGGCGTTTGCGCACCCGATAGTTTGGTGACAGAAAAGCAGGTCTAAGTTATGGTGCAGTTTTTGTGGATTTGATCAGATATGGGCACTTAACCTGGGTGGGCGAGTGGTTAGCGTGTCGACCTCACAGTGCAGAAGTCATGGGTTCGAGCCCGGCTCCTGCCCTCCTGTGTGGAGTTTGCATGTTCTCCCCGGGCCTCCGTGGGTTTTCTCTGGGTACTCCGGTTTCCTCCGTCATTCCAAAAACTTGCATGGCAGGCCGATTGAACACTCTAAATCACAGGTGTCAAAGTCAAGGCCTGGGGGCCAAATCTGGCCCGCCACATCATTTTATGTGGCCCGCGAAAGCAAATCAAGCATGTCAAGTTCCATGATGCTTGCTAAAGTCTGAACCAAAGTTTCAATAACAGTCATTATTCTTGACTCCAGATTTTAAAACTAGTTATTCATCAATTTGTTGTGGCTGTGCATGTAATTATTTTCCCATTAAATGGGATTAAACATTTAGATGGTTTCCCAAAATTCATAACAGCCCTCCAAGGGAAACCGTAACTAGAATGTGGCCCGCGACAAAAATGAGTTTGACGCCCCTGCTCTAAATTGTCCCTGTGAACGTGAGCACGGATGGTTGTTTGTGTCTGTGTGCCCTGCGATTGGCCGGCAACTGGTTCACGGTGTCCCCCGCCTACTGCCCGAAGACAGCTGGGATAGGCTCCAGCAGCCTCCGTTTCCCTTGTGAGGATAAAGCGGTTCAGAAAATGGATGGATGGGTGGATGGGCACTTTACCCTATTATGCCGGTCCGTCCTGTGTCCACGACCTGGGTACCCTTCTGTCATCGTCCCTCTGTCTTTATTCATATAATAATCGCCCTGCGTCCCCGGCCATCCTTGTCCGTTTAAAGTGCTTCCACCCAGTACGCCCGCCTACCCCCCTCCGGTCACCAGAGCCTGAGTTGCATGATGTGACGAAACTGTGATCGATAGTCACCAAAATTTATGTTGACCTCTTTACTTAATGCTCACATCAACCTCTGAAAATATTAGAATGACCGCCTAAGTAGTTTAGGGTGTTTTCCTCTTCATAAAGGCGTTCTATTTTCTCTGACTGTACACTAGGTGGCAGTGTTGCTATAAAAATACTGTTGAGATGATAAGAAAATACAGTGTTAGGCTACACTCTGGCCTTGTTATTTTGCCTCCTGACACCATATTCTTAACCTGGTTAGGGACGACTAAAGGGACGGACGAAAACCCACTTCCGTCCTTGCATAGTCTGGGCATTTAAAAAAAAAAAAAAACTTCTCGTCTTCAGTCCCAAAAATGTGTGTCGGTCCGGGGTGGACTGACCGTTCCATCCGAGGGAAGGAATGCCCATCTCTGGATTTGATCCAAGCGCAGGCAGACAGATGTCTGCTGGATATCATTGCGTTTCATTCATAAATATGGCAACAGCTCACATTGAACCTTCTGAATCATTGTTGAAATCAATTTATTGAAAGCATTATTATTTTTAATCAGCTTCAATATATTTTTAAAAGCACCGCTCTGACTGCGGCACAACTGCAGTGTGTGTGGGTGGTGGGGTTGTCATACACAGACGCATGATTGTAGGTGGAAGGCGCCCACTTAAAAGCAGCCAACTTGGTTCAACTAACGCATGCTCTCTTTTGTCTGCTTTGTACTGTACTGTATATCTTTAGCACCCAGATCGCACCATCCCCGTCATCATCATTGGCCTTCTTGTTTTCCTTCCTGGATTTTACCATTTGAGAATCGCCTACTATGCCGCCAAGGGATACCGAGGTTACTCCTATGATGACATCCCAGATTTTGGTGACTGATTGGAGCCACAGCTGCTGACTATCCACACTCCCTGACCAGATGTATCCATTAAGTCCCGCCTGATGTTTTCTTTCTCCAGTGTATCAGACAAAAGACAAAAGTATGGCGCGCTGCAGAAATGGCACTCTATATTTATCCCTCGGTGGACTCTGCCGGATTTAAACTTAATCTCTATGGTTCTGTCTGCTTTGCTCCAGAAAATGGGAAAACCTTAGTGACAGTGAACAAACGTCAAGCAAAGCGGAACAGCTTCTTGTCTGCCTGCATCACACCAGCAACATTGTGCTGTTCTAAAATGACCTCTAGAAAGGGCAAAATCCAGACTACAGACTGAAAACATGTTAATTTTTTTTTTTTTTTTTGTTTTCTCTTACTGCTCAGCTGCTGTTTTGTTACTGAGAATCTGGGTTGCGTAACTCTTTAAAAGTAAGTATTTGCATGTGTTTATTGTTTTAAATTAATTTATGATTTAATTATGGAATTCATTTTACACTGGGCTGTGTGTTTTTGTGGCATGCCACACACAGCATCAGACCACACATGCAGGCACACGAGAGATGCCATATTAAAGTGTTGCACCCCTGAGCTGACATGGGATGGGGGGGGGGGGGGCCTTGCTTCAGGGCAGCGCAGCATTAGTCACAAAAAAGAGGAGCAGCTCTCCAATATATTGTCCTTACGGATGAGCGGGTCTAGCCCCAAAGTATTTGCAGCGCAATGCAAAGTGTGAATGTTTCATAAAATGATAGTGCATTTTTGAAATGCTGTTCCTTTATAATAGGTCCACAAATATATTTGTGTATGCTATTTTGTAGACTGAATAAATTTAAATGGTGAGCTATTTTACTAAATAAATGAAATGTGGTTCTTTTTTTTTTTTTTTAAATTAAATGGTGTCCGGTGTTTATTTCACAGTAATAAGATTAGTTTTTTTTACTGTGAAATAATTACAATTAAATTTATGCTATGTTGATGTAGAAAAAAATATGTACTGGTTGAGTAAAGAAAGATAAGGGAAGGAATAAAGTACTATAAAGCTCTGATTTTTATCATCCTATTAATACAAACAAGCAACGAACCTAATTAAAACACCAGTACATTTGCTTTCCACAAAATAGCAACAAAAAATTTGCATTAAAATGCTTACACTAGTTTTGTCTTCTTGGATAAGCACTGCCATGGAAAAACATTCCTCACAGACGCATATCTTCTAATCTAACAAGTCTTCCCAGAAGTAACTGACGTCCTGAACTAAGTTCACACATATGCAATTTTTTCCAACATTTTTACTCACTGCACACAGTGGCGGATTTTGGTATGTGCAAAATGTGGAGCCACACTGGCTGCCAATTGGTGGGGCGCAGTACAAAGTAACACTACGGAACAAGTTTTCTTTGGGCGTCATGACATCATTATTAGCCTTTGTCAAAGGAAATGTGTGCCCCCTTGCGGAGACAATAAAACATCCATCCATTCATTTTCTAACTTATCTTCACAAGGGTCGCGGGCTTGCTGGAATCTATCTCAGCTCTCTTCGGGCAGTAGCCGGGGGACATCCTGAATTGCCAGTCAATCACAGACAATAAAACATGTACAAGTATTTTGTTTCCAAATATTGAAGTGGATATATCATATCTTCAGGGGAGGTCTTATTATTGCTTGATCACACTGGCCAACAGCAGAATATAATTGGAGTTGACTTTATGTGTTGCTCAATGTATTTTTGATGCTAACCTCAATAGGTGTCTTTTTTCCAAGCACACCAGGTCTTTCCATGTTTTAATTTTTTATTTTTAAGTTTGAACAATAAAAAATTAAAATCTACCTGATGCGGTGCCTAACGCTTAATTTATAAATATGACTAAATACGTACTTATCCCCCAGATTAAAAAAAATAGAACAAATTTGTTGACCAATGTAATTAACATTTGCAAGTTATGATTTTCTCTTCTATTTGTGGTCCGAATTGAACTGACTTTCAAAGTTAGTGTTCGAAGAAAAACGTCTGCCGTAGTGTGGAGGCCACAGAAAGAACGGGTCCTCTGTTTGACTGGTTATTGATGCTTCGTAGTTGTACTGGTGCATTGTACTAATACTTTGGTCCAGAGGGCGTGTGACACCTCCCGTTTAAGTGCAAAGGCAATGACACCCTCTTGTGGTCGCTTCTGTCGGGGATTTAGAGCGATTTTTGTTTTAAATTATTTGTCTGCACACCAGACAAGCGTCTGCGTCTGGGTCGGCTATTACGGGCGGGCTTCGCGTAGAAATGCCACTTTTAAAAACAAACAAAATGGAGGGCGTTCGTGGGAGGAGGAAAGGAGGACACGAGAGCAGCGTGGTGCGGGTAGCTCACTTTGTCACCTGGATGTGAAACAGACACCTGTTACCTGCTCTCGGGCGCCACAGGTATCACGTTGCAGGTCGTTTCTCAGAGCAACAAAGAACCGAGTCTCAATTCTCCAGATGACTCACTTCCAACCGGATTGAACCGAACATTCGAAGGATACGTTTATAAAGAAAAGAAAAAAAAGAAAACGAGAGTAACACCGAGGCCGCCACTTGTCAAGCTGCAGGTATGGTGCGTTTAAATGGCCACACTATTCCCTTGAATATCTTGATTTATACATATTATATTTACAAGGGTTTATTTCGGTTGTTCTTGAAAATCGCTTCAACTTAGTGTTGTGTTTTTAAAGTTATTCATTATCTAGCTTTTACATAAGGGTCAACGAGTTACCCCATGTGTTACAATTTCTACAATTTTTGTAGATTTTTGCGTATTGTCATATTACATCAAAGACAAAGCATAAAAATTGTGTGATATGAAATATTCCAATTCATGTTTCATTTATATAGATTTATATTTATGTTTTGGTCATAGCACAATACCGCTTTTATTGTCCATAGAGGGCAAAAATACAAAGAAAAAAATAAGAACTATATGTGTATGTATAGCACTGATGCCACTGAACATGTCGAGTGGTTGAAAGTAAAATAAATATTCAGGAGTAATACTTTTACAATTTTTGTAAAATTGTATGTTGCGTTATATAAACTTATTCACATCGACTGCAGCACATGGGTTATCCTTAAAGCCCTTAAATGTAACCTTTGGGCAACATATTCCGAGAGTAAAATTTACTCACTGCAAATACTAACAGTACCTTCATTTGTTGTTTTCTTTCTTCTTCAATTTACTTGGCCTTTTACGTCACGAAGTATAATATTCCTTCTGATTACTTAAACTGTACAAGGTATTTGAGCACTGCTGCAAGGTGCTGGAAAAGCTTGACGCGTTTTCTTAAAAGCACTTCAAGGTGAAACGGGAAAACCCTCATTGTTCTTCATCCTCTGACTATCATGCATTTAATGGCTTTTTCTGTAATTTAACAGCATTTTTTCTAGTCTTTTATGATTTCTAGATTGTGTGAATAAACCCCAATTGATGGTGTGGAATTGCCATCACAAATTCCAATAAGTAATGAGTTGAAAGTCTTCACTTGATTGGAGTCTTGAGGTCACAAAAGGTTAGTGAAAGTCGAACAAATGTTTAAACATTGATTATTTGACATTTAAAGAATTCAACACAAGCATCTTGTGGTCACTTTTTTACGAGATGGGGATTATTTATTGACTTCAAGCTAACCTGTTTGGTTTTGTGTGGCAATTTATACACCCAGTACCAATGAATACTTTTTTGAGACACATTTTGAAATACATGAAAAAAATGGTGTGTTGAATTTACTCAATTTTATTTTGTCAAGTGGCTGCGCAAAATAAAATCACCTGGACCCAGATACATTTTTACATACAGTAGATGGTTCGTCTACCTAAAAAAAAATACTTATTTTGATCCAGATCATTTTATGTCATGCAACCAACCACTTGACAGAATCAAATTGGGTAAATTCCGTTACAGTGGAAAAAAAAAAAAAAAAGACCCAATTGCTGCCTTGTGCTTACGGATGAAGTTAGAATCGTACTTCCTCGTGATTCATTCCTCAGGGTGTGTTTAACTGGAACAGAGTCAACTCCATCAATGACGCTGCACACGATAAGTTGCACAGAACGTTGTCGCATGAATGGATAAATGGATGGTCATTAATAACAAATAACATATCTCTGTTCATCTGTCTACGCTAACGACTTATAATAACAGGCAGAACAAACCAATGGTCATCTATTACATGGAAGAAAGTCGGTGTATATAATTGACGTGCATCCATTTTTTGTGAAATTTTTGTGTGGGGGCGTGCTGTGCGATTTTTCAAACCAAAATATTGCCTCGGTTCAATCAAGATTGGGATTCAGTGGTATAGCGGATGGATGGATGTGTTCCTTCTACTAAATAGTCTTCATTCTATTTTGGAGCCATCTCATCGTGGGGTTTTTTGTTTTTTTTGTTGTCTCCCTACTTTCATTTTACTCAGGGGTTAATGTCCAATTGAACTTGGTGTCAAGAGGCGCCTTGAAAAAGTCCGTTAGTGAGCAAAGAGTGATTCATTTTCCCTTTAGGATACAGTGTACTCACTGTTTAAATCAATACCTAGGACATTATGAAAGGGCATTTGCTTGGCTTTGACAGGAACAGACAGTGGCACAATTCATAAGAGGGGAAATGGTATTTAATAACAAAAAAAAAATTATAATAAAAAAACAACAACAAAGGTCGGATCCCCTTTATTGCAGCCTTCAGAGTTATAGGAGGCAGAACTGCTGATAGATGTGTTCCAGAGGCACAATCAATCAGCTGCTCCTCCATTTCTCTTCTTATGTAGATTAAAACAGCACCACTGGCGCTTTTCCTACGGCTTTTCTGTCACCGTCTCTATTTGTTGCAGTTGATAAATCAACAGGAGACAGAGGAGGCGGGGGGAGGGGGCTTTCTCTTGCGAATCACCTCTCATTTATGATTCTTTTTAAATGTTTTTTTTTGTGCTGTCACCATGCTTATATTTATGCATGTGGACGTAAGAAGCAAATGTCAAGGCAGCGTCTAGGTCAGTGGTTCTTAACCTGGGTTCAATCGAACCCCAGGGGTTCGCTGAATCAGTCTCAGGGGTTCGACGGAGACTCTGCCATGGAGGTTGAGACACAGCCGACTCAACATGTCATTTAGTTATGAAACACCCGCGCGGCCGTCACTGGCTGCAGATGATCACAATACATTGCTTGTCCAATCAATGCTGCGGGAAATTTAGTTCGCTCAGTAGTCAGCGTGTGATTGTCGTGATGTCGTGTGATTTACCATATTGGCCCGAATATAAGATGGTGTTTTTTGCATTGAAATAAGACTGAAAAAGTGGGGGTTGTCTTATATTCGGGGTCTAGACATTAAACCCGTTCACGACGCTAGATGGCGCCAGATATCATTGAAGCGAATGCTGAACTTGACTCCCCAGGCCAAAGTGAACCCCTTTCACGAAGAATAAAACTAAAAATAACGGTAGCACGAAGAAGAAAAATAAAAAATAGCTGTAAGAAAGAAAAGAGAAGAAAATAATGTAAGAGATAACAGAAAATGGAGAAACGTAGCGACAATCTCGAGAAAAGTGGGTCAAAGATCGGCCAGGCTAACCGGTAGCTGAGGAGAAGTTAAGATGTAATTTACATTTCAAAAACCAGAAGCCATTCATTTACGATTGTGATTGCACTTTAGTTTACATATTTAATTGTTCAGATATTAAGATTTGAATGAGGCAAAATAACATGCTTTTTCTCTCAAATATATTGTTATAATCATTTGTTTCAGATGTACTGTAATTATTTTCTGTATAAAAATTAATTTGGTGTTCAAAAAGTAATTTTTCAAACTTGAGTCTTGAAAAAGAGGGGATCGTCTTATAATCAGGGCCGACTTATATTCGAGCCAATACGGTATTTATTTTTTAAATGTTTTAACACATGCTACATCAAGCAAAAAAAGAAAGTCGTCAGGCGAGTATGTACAACATGGATTCAAATGCATCACAGAACGTGATGGGACTCAGCGTCCTATCCGCGTGATTTGTCATGCCAAGTTGAGCAACTCCAGTCTCGCACCGGCAAAACTGAAGGAACACTTCTCAAATCATTATTTTTCAGTAAGGGTTCGGTGGATCTGCATTTGAACTGGTTGGGTTCGGTACAAGGTTAAGAACCACTGGTCTCGGCTATGTTTCCATGCCATGTGTTTCAACTCGGTTGCATCGTTTGACATTTTTTTCAGTTTCAATTCAGAATGAATTGTTTTCTCGCCATGTAATGAGTTTTCCTCATACCTGCCTTCTTGCTGTCTGCCATAGTTTTCCCTTTTCTTTCCTTTCCCAAACTATATTACGCAATCCCCGTTTTTCTGGATGGCTGAATTCTTTTGCCGTATACATTAAATCTCGTCTACCATTAACGTCATAAACAACATTTGGATTGATCTGTCCCCCCAGCCCCCTTCACATTTCGGCTACTCTGCAGGCTTGCTTTATTCTCATCCAGTCAACTTAATTTGGATGAGTTATTGAGGGGCAGTCAACTGAAAGAGACTAGACAATCAAGTGATCATTACGTGCCAAATAGGGAAAGTCCCCGCTGCTTAATCATTGCAACAGCCACTCTCCATTTGGATCTATTTGCGCATTCATGAATAAACTTCAGAAAGCTTGTTCAAAAGGTGAAGGGAGGGGGATAGAGGCATCGGCATGTCAAGTCCGACAGCGATAAAAAGGTACATTGCAGTGGCTCTTTCACCCTTCGCACTCACTTTGACTGTGTGAACACGTGCCTGAATGTTGCGCCGTTTGTTGAAGTGTGGAACTGTGTTGGAAGACATTCTGCGGCCGTTGACAGCTTGTGTAATTATTTTCCGGCCTTTTAGACTGAGGCCCAGCCATGAAATGAAAATGCTAATAAAAGTCTTCTTTTTGGTTCATATTCAAGAATAACATACGTACACAAAGTGTAGCGGCTATGAGGAGGGGACGCCTGTTATCAGTCTGGTCAAATCTCGCGACGTCAACCTTGCAATTAGTGATTGACCCTTTATCCTATTTTATTCTTGGAAAAACTAAATTAGAATGGGTCACAACGTTAGGTCCATTTGTAACAGATTATAGGATCTGAATAGTCAAAGTGAAACTACTCAAGCTTTGTTTGACATTTCTGGAGATTTATTCAGCGGTAAACTGTTTTTCATCCGGTTTGTACTTTACTGCAGCAGGGAATATTTTCTAATGTTTTGGTTAACCTATTTCTCGACGCGAGAGGGGTCAACATGAAACAGCTCGCTGCGTGGTGCATGACTGTTGTAATTAGTATCAGCAGTCAGTCATCCAAAGGACTTAGTTTGAGTTCCACTGCAGCCCCAAAATAAAACATGGTGAGACTGCATGCTCTCACATTTCTCCTCGCCTGTCTACATGAACGATCTTGTTAAATTGATACGTTTCTAACAGCGCCGATGTCAAGTGAGTCTTGTTGGGAAAAGGGAGGATTAGCTCTCATAGCTCTTTTGTTAGTATGGGCTACCAAACAGAACAAAAGTACAACTAATTTAAAAACTTGGGCCCGATCGACTAATTGGTCAGCTAATTTAATTAGC